CACACACACACCACACACCACACATCACACACACACACCACACCACCCACATCACACACCACACATGACACATCACACACACATGCCACACATTACACACACGCCACACATCACACATCACACACACATGCCACACATTACACACACACCACACATCACACACACACACCACACACACACACACCACACACATACACACAACACACGCACACACCCCTCTGCATATTTTGCTAATATGCTACTTTTCTATTAACCAGGTGATATATGGTTTGAGGCAGGTTGGAGCTGTTGGAAGAGATATCTCCAAATGCTGAAAGAGCATGAAATGCTCTTAATTCACCAGATACCATCAGTCAGAATTAATCATCTTTATCATGGCTACTGTCCAACTAACAACCACTTTCTGGGAGAAGATCGATGCTGTTGTTCCAAACAGAAAGGGTCACCCTTCTGCCCATCCTTTCAAACTCCTCCCTTCCCTGACTTTCTCTTCTCCAAAAGCAGAACTTTCTGGGCCACAGCAAATGGATCAGCCAAGATCATTCTGCTCATAGTAAACATCAGTGATCAAACAAACACACAACTCACTGTTGAGCAGCTTTGATTTACAAACAAATGATGTTCCAAAAATTTTCAGTGGATACTTTGCAAGAATACCTAGTTGCACACAGGGAACTTCAAGTTCCCTAGGTGACTCACAAAACGCTGTTTAAGCAATAATGTCTTCAAAATGCCAAATTGTTATAATGAAAAAAAAAAAAAAGATACAATGCCAGCAATTAAATACACCTGAAAAAAGTGAATATAGTTTTTGAAACAACTTATTCAGCATGCTGATGTTTGAAGGTAAAAGCTAATTTAAGGAAGGAAAAATGAGGAAGTAGTAGCAAAATTTTGGGGTATATTTACTAAAGACTTCTTCACCCTTTCCATGACTTTGAAGATTGATTTACCTGGTTCATTTTTATAACTAAATCTGATTTCCAACTCTGCACTTTTTTTTTTTTTTAAGGTACAGCCCTAGAGTCCCAGCCCTCACAAGCTTGGGAGTAGAAAATGATGTCACACTTCCTTCTTGTATTTAAATTATGACACCATGGGTGCCTACCAACCATGTTGCTGGAAATGAATCTCCTTTAAAGCATCCCCCAGTTATTCCTGAGAAGCCACATGTTCCTCTGAGCTAACAAACACATTAGCTGGCTTGTCCCCTCCCCTTCTACTCAGATTCCCAAATATCATGTTCATTGCTTACAGAGATGGTTGGCCACCTCTACCTGTAAGCCATAGGACACCCACGGTCCATGCCAAACAGACAGCCTCTGGATGCTTCCAAAGCTTCCAAACCTTGTGCTGGGCTCCATGATGAGGTGAAAGCCAACCCCCCTCCCTGACCTTGTGCACACTCTTGGTTGCTCATGCTTGGGGCCTCACGAGGTTTTCTTTATCAGTTCCAGCACACTTTGGTCTCCAGGAGACAGTTTTGTTAGTGTGCAGCCCAAGAATCAGACTACTAATCAGATATGACTCTTCAAAGGATTATAATTTTTGTTTCTTCAAGGGAATGAAAAGAGAAGATGGAAGGCAAAATTCCCTCAAGATATTATAAGAGTCAGAAGAGGAGTGGAGAAGAAGAAAAGGGATATGTGTCTTTGTGTGAATGTCCTACTCAGCCATAGAGTGAGGTAGAGTCAGGCAAGTTACTATTAATTCATTCAGCAAATTTTTATTGAGCACCTACTATGCGCCAGGCACTGTTCGTATCTGGAGAGCCAAGCAGTGAACAAAGTAGGCAAAGTCCTTGTCCTCAAGGAGCTCACGTTTTTGTAGGGGGAGGCAGGGAGCACAGAAATAAATAAATGGAGGGGCGCCTAGGTGCCTCAGTCAGTTAAGCATCTGAATCTTGGTTTCATCTCAGATCATGATCTCAGGGTCCTAGGATCGAGCCCAATTTTGGACTTGGCAAAATTGAGGCAGGAAAACTGGGTGGCGGCCAGGGTAGTAACACTTTGTATGCTCTGATAAGGGGCTCAGGACTAATTTTAGTTGACGAGTTTTCAAGAGGAGAGTGAGAGAATTAGATTTAGCTGAACTGGAGTCAAAGAGAACCACTCACAACAGGAGAAATAATAAAGCTTGGCCAGTTCCTTGACTGCCCACCAGGTGGAGCAAGGAGGCCAGAACAGCTTGGTTGCTAGGGTGGGGGTGGGGGTGGGGGTCGGAGAAAGGGTGGAGCAGGAGAAACCACCAGCGAGGGACTGCTTTTTTAAGGACCAGGAAGCTTCCCAGTCAAGTGCTCCTAACTCTGGAAATAACTGTATTGATTTAAAAAAGTCTCTAGAAAAAACTGGAAGTCACCTAAACGTGCACGTTTAGAGGACCTGTGAAATACCACAAAACATTCACATACTGGATTACTGAGAAGCCATTTAAAGGAATGGGGTGGCTTCCTGCTTACCTGTGTGAAAAAAGAGAAAAAAGCAAATTGTAGAATAGTGTATAATATGATGCCTTCTGTGCAGATGTCTAGAAAGAGGACAACAAATTGATATTAGAGAGGGTTTGGGGGCTATTGATTGTGAGTGTATGTGTGTGTGTGTGTGTGTGTATCTAACCATTTTATTGAGGTATAATCAACAGACAGTAAGCTGCACATATCTAAAATGTACAATCTAATAAGTTTTGGCATACGTACACACCTATGAAGCCATGACCACAATTCCAATAGCGAATATATTCATCGCCCTCAGAAGTTTCCACACATCCCTTTGTAATCCCTCCCTACCACCCTTCCCTGTCCCCCCATCCTAGGCAACCACTGATCTGCTTTCTGTTACTAAGGGTTTGCATTTTCCAGAATTTTACATAAATGGAATCATGCAATATGTCTTATTTTTGTCGTGCTTCTTTCATTGAGCAAAATATTCACCCGTGTTGCTGAGAATATCAATAATTAATTCCTTTTAATTGCTGAATAGCATTACATTGTAGGGATGTATCACAATTTGCTTATCATTCATCTGGTGATGGACATTTATTTGGATTGTGAATAGTTTTGGGCTAGTCCCCAGAAAAACAAAACAAAGCTGCTAGGAACATTTGTGTACTAGTCTTTGTGTTTGCATATGCTTTCATTTCCCTTGTGTAAATGCTTAGTGGAATGTCTAGATCATATGGTAAGTGTATGCTTTAACTTTTTAAGAACCTGCAAAATTGGGGCACCTGGGTGGCTCAGTCGTTAAGCCTTTGGCTCAGGTCATGATCTCAGGGTCCTGGGATCAAGCCCCGCATCGGGCTCCCTGATCAGCAGGAAGCCTGCTTCTCCCTCTCCCACTCCAAAATTGGTTTCCAAAGTGGTTGTACCATCTTATATCCTGCCAGCACTGTATGAGCATTTCCATTTGTCTTTATCCTTGCCAGTATCTGGTATGACCAGACTTCTAAATTTTAGCTCTTCAAATGGGTGGCTTACATTTTCATTTCTTTAATGATTAACAATGTACATTTTTCTTTTCTTTTCTTTTTTTTAGATTTTATTTATTTATTTGACAGAGAGATAGGGAACACAAGCAGGGGGAGAGGGAGAGGGAGAGGGAGAGGGAGAAGCAGGCTTCCTGCTGAGCAGGGAGCCCTATGCGGGGCTTGAGCCCAGGTCCCTGGGATCATGACC